GAGATCAGTCGGAGTCTGGTGGAGATCAGTCGGAGTCTGGTGGAGATCAGTCGGAGTCTGGTGGAGAACAGTCGGAGTCTGGTGGAGAACAGTCGGAGTCTGGTAGAGATCAGCCGGAGTCTGGTAGAGATGGATATGATTTATGCAGCTGATTTCATCTTACAGATTATTCGCCTTGTTTGAGGATTTCAGACATTGTTGGTGATTGTATTTATTGTTCTCTTCCATCCAGTCATACCCAACACCCTGCAGGTCTCCATGGCTCCCCAGACCGTGACAAAATCAGAGGGGGCCTCCCTGGAGCTGACCTGCCAAGTGTCCATGGCCTCCTCACAGCACACCCATCTGTCCGTCTCCTGGATTCTCTCTACTGACTCGGACGCTGAGATCCTGACCCTGACCCGCGACTTCGTCCTTCATCCCGGAGGGGCCTTCTCTGAGCGCTTCACGGCTGGAGACATTCGTCTGGACAAGCTAAGTGAAAGTTCCTACAAGCTGACCATTGGGGCGCTCCACCAGTCAGACCAGGGCGAGATCTTCTGCCGAGGATCGGAGTGGATCCAGGATCCCAGTGGAGCATGGACGAAGATCGCTGAGAAAGACTCGGAGAAGACCAACGTGAAGGTGGCGGCAGTTCAGGGTAAGGACATGGAGCGTTGAGATCAAAAGGTCCACCATACATGAACCCAACATGTTCAGACAGCGCGATCATACTTCACTTGTGAACCTGTGTTTAGGTCATGCGGGACAGAGCCAAAGGTCACTTAAATCAGTAAATACAGAGGGCTTCTATTGTGGCCCCGGAATGTCTGGAGGGCCGCACAACAGCTTTGATTTGTAAATTTGTTGACATCACTTGTGAGTGACCGTTTCCGTGTGCGCTCGTTTCTGGACCAATGCATGCTTTTGCACATGACTGTGCACCATGGTGTGCGCGCGTTTCCAGGCTCAGACTGGACTCCCGGTAAGTCTCTTGCAGACAGAAAAAAAAAACATAGCACCCAACTTAACTCCTCCCTCCCCTCCTCCTCTGCTCAGATACAGAATTGTGGAGAGTCAATCAGAGAGAGACAGTCTGAAGGTAAACATCTCAAGCTCTTGTTTGCCTCAGTTCTCTGGCTGTCCCGTGTTATGGTGCACCTGACCCCGCTACATGCTTGTTTGTAAAGCAAAGTTTGTATGTACAGTCCAAACATATGAAGGGAACCAGCTTAACACATATCCATATAAAGTATTGTCACCCTGACTGGTGTGTGTGGTAAGCACTGATTTGTTTGTCCTTATGGTGGCTGATCAATGTGATCTCATTTCAGGTGGAGATTTTGAAGTCCAGGTTAAGGCATCAGCCGAGGTTCTGACCCCAGGACGCCCCCTGGAAGTCACCTGCTCTGTCAGCAACACGAGTCCCAGTGGCGGGCAGTTCCGCGTTGTCTGGCAGCTCAGTGGCACCATGAAAGCAATCTGGGAACCCTCTGGAGTGGTGACATTCAGAAGCGAGCTCAGCTCCGCGGGGGCGGAGGGACGGCTGGCTGTGCACAGGCGGGACCTGACGTCCTGGGTGCTAAGGATCAGTCAGGTGCGGATCGAAGATGGCGGCTCCTACGTCTGTGAGGTTACTGACCAGAGAAGCAAGAAGAGAACATCCAAACCAACGTCTGTGGAGGTGAAACTACCAGGTGGGCCTCCATACCAATAAAGTGTGGTCTGAATGGGGAGAAGGACTAGAACAGATGCGGTCCAGCTAGGGGGGGACGTACCAGGACACAAGCAGTCCAACTAGGGAAAGATATCAGGAGAGGAATGGACCAGCTGGGGAAGAGGTGGCAGTAGAGGAGATGTCCAACGGGGGGAGAGGTACTTGGATCAGTCCAACTGGTAGGGAAATACCAAGAATGGGGCAGACCAACTGTGGGGGAGATATCATGAAAGGAGAGGTCCAATTAGAGGAGAGGTATCACGAGACGAGCACGTCAACTCAGGAAGAGGTACCTTGAAAGGAGAGGTCCAATTAGAGGAGAGTACCAGGAGACAAGGACTTCAACTCAGGAAGAGGTACCATGAAAGGAGCAGTCCAATTGGAGGAGAGGTACTGGGAGAGGAGTGGAACGACTGGTAGAGAGGTAATAGGAGAGGAGAGGTCCATCTGGGGAAGAGATACCTGGAGATGAATGGCCCGACTTGAGGAAAGGTACTTGGACTGTGTGACGATGATGGAGGGCCAGGCTGGGGGCTGATGATGGAGGGCCAGGCTGGGGGCTGATGCTGGAGGGCCAGGCTGGGGGCTGATGCTGGAGGGCCAGGCTGGGGGCTGATGATGGAGGGCCAGGCTGGGGGCTGATGATGGAGGGCCAGGCTGGGGGCTGATGATGGAGGGCCAGGCTGGGGGCTGATGATGGAGGGCCAGGCTGGGGGCTGATGATGGAGGGCCAGGCTGGGGGCTGATGATGGAGGGCCAAGCTGGGGGCTCATGATGGAGGGCCAAGCTGGGGGCTCATGATGGAGGGCCAAGCTGGGGGCTCATGATGGAGGGCCAAGCTGGGGGCT